TGCCGCACGAAGAAGTGCTTGTGGCTGCCTTCTACCTAGAGGGTAGTGCAACAAGATGGTTGAGCGGTTTAGTGCAGCTCCAGGGGTATGGTCACAACTTCCGTGCTTGGGCGGTCACCCAGAAATTGGACGACTTCCTTAAGCTGGTGGAGGAAAGGTGGCATGATCCTCAGGAGGCCCAAAGGGCCACTGATGCGATCTTGACACTGCACACGCGGCAGTTCAAGTCAGTAAGGGAAGCCACCGACGCTGTCGAGCGTCTAATCTGTGTCCCTGGGGTGCGCTATGACCCCCAGGTTCTACTCACCTACTATCTGAGATGCTTCTCTTTGCCTCTCAGGAACCAGTTGGCAGGTGAGGCCAACATCAATGTGCACAACTTCCCTTCGTTTAGCAAGAAGGCCCTAGACCTTGAGGCGAAGATAGGGCATGGACAGGCACCCAATACGGATGGTAGGAGGAAGACACTGCCTCCCAACTGGAAGGCGAAAGGGCGCATTATGTTTGTCGATAACGATGGTTCAACCATCGAACTAGATGAACACTTCCGGGAAGGAGTAGGTTCAGAGGCTGGCAGCGCAGAAGCTTCAGAGGGTGGAGTAGTCGCTGCCGTAGCTCAGAAAGGTAAGGCGACTAGTAGACGCTGCCGAGGCTCCCGGTCAAGGAGTCAAGTTGACCCCAATGCTCCTCCATGGGAGAAAGCGGGTCTCACAGAGAACGTGTGGAGAGATCGGTACTCACGGCAGGCCTGTATTCGTTGTGGTCAATATGGCCATAGCCAGTACAAGTGCCGCAATAAGAAGGTAACCGAAAAGATCCCGCCTACGATAGGGCAGGTGTTGGGATCCTCTCATCCCGTTGGTAGCAATGTTGCCAGTACTTCAGGCAGTGCTCCAGGAAACATGTCGGGCCAGTAGGAATAGTAGTTGTTCCTGCTAGGATCTTGAGAGTCGTCCCGCAAGCACATTCAGACCCATCGAGCCTCTGTTCGATGATGTGTTTGAGTCCTTAGAGGAGTTAGAAGAGGTGGAGCGGTCTAGATGAGACCCGCTAGCTTCTTGGACGGCCCTAGTCAAAGCCCCGAAGGGTGAGATGTTCGTCAGCGAGGTTGTCATTGGCGGCCGCAAGGCCGGGGCCTATTATGACACTTGCTCGACTAGGAACTTTATTAGTCGCGCGTGCGTTGAGAAGCCGCGCTTACAGGGGCAAGTGCAGCGCCTGAGTTGACCTGTGCCAACAAACAATGCATGGTAGTCAATGACTACCTCCAGGATGTAGAGTGTTGTTTCCCGTACGCGGGAGGGGAATTGAGACATCGCGTCTCGTTCCTAGTGAGCGACTAACTCCCCATGGACATGTTGTTAGGTATGTACTACCTCTCTGTGGCACAGCCCCAGTTTGACTGGGACCGAAAAGTGGTCAAACACACTTTGCCGGGTGGATGGACCGCCAGATTACATAAGTTCAAAGCTAGTAGTCTTATTGAATCCTATGGGTGCATGTGTGCGGCCGCGTTCTATAATTATTATAAGCAAAATCAAGAGGAGGGTATGTACTTAGTTTATGTCTCTGCTGCAGGCAAGCCGGTGAAAATGCCGCCGGAGATAGAGGGAGTAGTTGCTAAGTACCCTGATCTATTTGAAGAGGCGACAGGGGTTGTAGAGAGGGAGGTCGTCCGCGCGATAGAGATTATCCCAGCGTCTAGTATCCCAAAGGGTAGGATCTATCGGATGTCTCCACGCGAGCTCGATGAGCTTCGCCGACAACTCAAGGAACTCGTAGAGAAGGGTTGGATCCGGCCGAGCGTCTCTCCTTATGGATCTCCAGTACTATTCATACCTAAGAAGGAGGGTACACTTAGGATGTGCATTGACTATAGGGGCCTCAATGCCATCACTGTAAAGAACAGAGAGCCTCTACCGCGCATCGATGATCTGCTAGATACAGTGCAAGGGTGTCGGTACTTCAGTAAGATAGATCTGAAGTCTGGGTACCATCAGATTGCAATCCGGCCCGAGGATCAACACAAAACCGCCTTTCAGACTAGGTACGGTCTGTACGAGTTTGTGGTGATGCCTTTCGGCCTTTGCAATGCTCCTGGCACCTTTCAGCACGCCATGAATCGGATATTCCATGACTACTTGGATAAGTTTGTCATCATGTACCTCAATGACATACTTATTTTTAGTAAGACTGTCGAGGAGCACGTGGCACATTTGGACAAAGTCATCAGCCTCCTGCGACAGCACAAGTTCAAGATCAACGGTGAGAAGTGCGAGTTTGGTCGCACCCGTGTCTTGTACTTGGGTCATGAGATATCCGCAGAAGGGTTGAAGCCCGATGACGCGAAGGTGGCCAACATTCGTGATTGGCCACATCCTCAGTCTGTGACTGAGATGAGATCTTTCTTAGGAATGACAGGCTACTATAGGACTTTCGTTAAGAACTATAGCATAGTGGCCGCTCCTTTGACTGATCTGACCCGCCTTGACACCCCATGGGAGTGGACAGATGAGTGCGAGGCTGCTTTCAAACATTTGAAGCATGCATTGACGCACTACCAGGTCTTGAAACTTCCTGATCCTGATAAGTCGTTTATAGTCACCACGAATGCCAGTCAATATGGCATTGGCGCCGTGCTCGCGCAGCAGGAGGGGCCAAAGTTGAGGCCTGTAGAGTACATGTCCAAAAAAATGTTGTCTCAGAAGTTGGCTAAGTCCACCTATGAGAAGGAACTCTATGCGGTTTACAAGGCTCTGACCCATTGAAGACATTACCTCCTTGGGAGGTTCTTCATCCTCATGACTGATCATCAGACCCTGAGATGGATGAGAACTCAGCCTGTACTCTCTGACGCCCTCAAGCGTTGGATCGAAGTCATTGAACAATATGACTTTGACCCTCGGTATCTGAACGGGGAGTACAAGAAGGTTGCTGATGCCTTGTCGCGTAGACCTGATTTCTCAGGTGCGCTGATTACTGAGTTCGATCTGACGAACAATGTTACTCAGTCCTTGGTGGAAGCCTATCGCGAGGACCAGTTCATGTCTAAGATCATACGCAGACTACAGGCGAAGGACAATAAGACTTCTGCCGAGTTTGAGTTGGTCAATGGCTTGTTGTTCCTTGAGAAGGAAGGGAATAAACGATTGCGTGTTCCTAATAGTGAGTCTTTGCGTAGTTTATTTTTAGGTGAGTGTCATGATGCCACCGACCATTTTGGGTACAAGAAGACCACAGCTAATCTGCTGCAGCGGTTTTGGTGGCCCACGATGATGCAAGATGCTCAGCTGTACGTGGAGACTTGTCAACAACAAGACGGACAGTTAATTGTTTGAGTGGTTTTCCTTTCCATCAACTGTTTTTCACACAGCTTCGCTCCCAAATCATTTTTGTGTTTTTTGGTTCTACTTTTCCAAATGGGTTTCATAATACTGCCTTCAATTCCTTGTATATTCAATAGAGTGAAACTTTTAGGCTGGATTTGATGTCAACCTCCGGAAGAACCCTATGTAACTACTGAACAAATTGCATCAGTTTTGTTTTCACAAATTTTGACAAAAAGAATACTAAATAAAACAGTAGTAGCTAAAAAAGTACCACAAATTTACATATTTCATGCAATTCCTTTGGTTATGCGCATTTTATTTGGGTTTTTATGTGTTATTATGTAATGATGGATTCCCAAAAATACATCGAATTCTCAGATTACAAAAACAATTCAAAATTCAAAGTATCCATTAATAACCTCATAGATAGCAGCCCCTCGTTTCCCTCTCCTTCTCCGAGCCTCCCCTCCCCTACACGTCAGCAAACAGTGTCCAAGAAACAAGCCTGACAGGGCTTGATCACATCAGAGTGCCACGTGACATAGTTCTCCCGTGAAGACATTACAACTGCGTGCAAAGTAGACAGCAGCAACAGGTAAGTATCCTCTCTCTTTCTCTCAATCAATCCACATATCCCGATCTCCCTCCTTGTCGCGTCTCAATCAGCACTGAAGACAGAGTGGCATACGCCACGTTAGCAATGTCAAAGACGGTGTGGCTTGCGCCACGTCAGCAATGTAGATAGCGTGGCATGCGCCACGTTAGCAACCCAGAAGATAGTTGGTGCTAGAACAGGAAGGTGCCAGCACGTGGTGTAGCAGTCTCGTGTCGTCGTCGCACAACGCCAACGTCCAACCAGCGTCAAGCCAGCGTCGCACAAAGTCGAGCCAGTGTCAAGTCAGCAAGGCAAGACTGAATGTCGACTTCCAGGGACAGGGGCCTTAAGTAGTGTTGATGAGGTTGACCTGCCTCTGGTCTCTCACCCACGGAGACTCAGATTGACTCACAGTCGACGGTCTGGATCTCATACAGTTACAGACTTCCACTTGGTCCGAATGCTGCCTGGATACCTGCGTACAGCCAAGTGTGTGTGTTTGACCAATGGCCTGGGCTGGGTCCATGCAGACTTTGACTCGTGGGCCGTTGTATAGTTCACTTTAGTCAACTATCGGGCGCAGGGCCCCTGAAGCCATTTCCAAGGGTTCTTTTCCCTTCTCGTGGTGCGGCATCAGGCCTGCTGCGGGCCTGCGGGTGGCCCTTAGACAAACAACGAGGCATATTGGAGCGGGTTATTGCATTCTTGCCCGCCCAATTTTGGAGTTCCATCGCAAAAATGCATCGACTTCCTTTTAGACTGCGCTCATATGCAACAATAATATCAAGAGCAGTAGGTAATAGTTCTCTCTTACTAAACCATCTAGCTTCAGACGCGGGTTAAGACTTAAACTTTACCTTGGACTGCTTCTGCGGCCTTCCTCTGCCACGTGTAGAGAAGTATCCATGTTCCAATATCTTCTCAACTTCATCGCCTCCATTCATTGAAGGAGGGACCATAGATGGTATGTTGGGAAAATCATGTCCCTCTACATATGGCAAGAGTTTTAGACGCATAAAATACAGGATAGGTCTTAAGGCGTGGGGGTCCATCAATTCTATATGAGGGTCCATCTGCATCCCCAATCACCTTGAGAACTTCCCAAGGTCCGTAGTAGACAGGCAACAGATTATGAGACACATTTTCTTCCAAGGAAAATTCTTCGAACTTTACCCATACAACATCACCTTCTTGGAATTGTGATGGTCCGACGATGCTTATTGGCCTGTTCGATCACTTGTAGTTGGGCTTTTGTTTGTTCATATCGCCCCAACTTTTTTCATGTCTTCTTCATATAAAACTGTGAATTCTCGAGTACCTGGGGGTAAGAGCATCAATGAGACGTCGTGGCTTCCAACCTTTATGCATTGTGTTTGGTGTGTTCTTCATGTTGTAATCCAAAAGATCCAGATGCGATGGGTTTTGGCATACGGATTTCCAAAAACCATCGTCTCTGATAGGGATGTACGGTTCACCGTTTCACAATGGCAAAAGTTGATGGACGCCTACGACACTGGGTTGACCATGTCGTCAGGTAGACATCCTGAAATGAATGGCCAAACTGAACAGGTGAATCATTTGTGGCATTAACTTTTGCGCATGTATGTACGACCCGATCAGATAGATTGGGATGGGAACTTACCTAAGATTGCCAGTGCATAAAAAAATTGTATACATACTGTTGTATGTATACTATTTTTTTATGCACTGGCAATCTTAGGTAAGTTCCCATCCCAATCTATCTGATCCCAACTCACTACCACCATTAACTGCACCCTCCGCCTCTTCAAGGGGTAACTTCTCCACCCTGTCGTCATCGAAGACAACAAGCATATGGTCCTCTCGCTTTTGTCGCCACAGGACACGTTTCCCATACCCTCCTAATGGACCATTACGTACAACGGCTGCATAGGTACCCTTTATCTGTGCGGTCATCTTCTCCCTTTGGAGCGCGAGGTCACGAAACTGCCTGTAATTGTACTTACCGGATTTCGCCTCGACTACGAGATGTCCCCGAATGGTTCCGACAATGCCCGTGAGAAGATGTACAAGACTTGGTTGTCCTCCAGGTTCAAACCAGGTACCTGCAACAATCGATCAACCTCATGAGATAGAGCTTCGACAGTGGTCCAACGCTTTTGGCCAATAGTAACGAGTTCATCAAAAGCCTTATCAGTCGTCGTTTTGCCAAGGGACCTCTCGTTGATCTTTTGGAGAAATTCCCTGAGGGTCAATGTTATGGCCCACACACCGATATCCTCAAAGTCAGCAGCGTTGGCCTTAGACAAAGCCCATTCCTTTGCTACCTCTCCCAGACATGAGGTAGTGAACGCAACTTCACTCTCTGGTTCGACATGTCAGTTCCAAAATATGCCTGCATTTCTCCTATCCACAATATCAGATGCTCACCCCGCTGCCCGTTATACTTGAAAGGAAGTTTCATCTTCACCTTTTCTTTCTTCTTTGCTACCTCCTCCTTGGTGGGTTCCTCTTTTTTCTTCTTCGCCGGTTCCTCAGGTTCTTTCCCTCAGCTTTCAGACGTTTTTGGCGTTTTCTTTGTTGTCTTCATTGCATCCTTCATTCACTTTTCTTGGGGTCCTTTCTTTTCTTCCCCCTTGGCCTCCTCAATCACCACCTTGTTCTTCATTCACTTTTCTTGGGGTTCTTTCTTTTCTTCCCCCTTGGCCTCCTCAATCACCACCTTGTTCTTTCCCTTTATGAGTCTTGTCATTGTCTGCAGTTCGACGGTGTTGTGATCTATCTTCATTTCAAGATGAGTGAAATCTCTATCTAATTTCATCCACTTTCCTTTCTTGTTGTTCTTTTTCCTTCTTGTTCCTCTTGTATTCTTCCATTTTCTTTTTCTCGACATTCAATGCATCTTCCAATTGCTTCATGTTTCCCTCCATTATTTCTTAAGACAGTTTCGGTTCTTCTTTCGGTTCGCTTCTCTATCCTCTTTCTTCTTCTTTGGCACGTCACCAGCAATCTTAGCCAGCTACTCTGCAACGTATTCATCGAGGGTCATTCAACCTCGATCAGTTATCTGCTACACTTGATCGCTTGCTTCCAACATTTGAACAACCGTCTCAACCTGCTCAAGTTCGGATTCTGCTGCACGTAGATCGAACTGGCTGCATACGTGTTGTTCAACTTCTGGACCAGTGTCATGCAACTCAGTCCACAACTGGTTAAGACGGGCTAGCATCTGCTTTCGTTTGTTCTCAACTTGGCCACATGTTCTTATTTCACTACCTTCCTCATCAGCAAAACATCCACAGAACAACCAAGACAAATGAGTAGAGTCATCCAACGAGCAACAATCAATCAAGATGTCAACAGCTCATCCTTTTCTGACTATGCCTCTGCAAATGCCAATGCCGCCAGGCAAAAGGGCCGACATGTGGCACTACAACCAAATGGTGACGCTGTACCGCTCGCCAACACACATGTGCAAGCATCAATCTCTCACCAACGGCAGTGCGCAATCGCTGCCACGTGTCACCCTGGCGTGCCAACGCAACATCTCCGTAGAGTTGCCACGTCATTGTTTATGGCCAATAGGCCTTCAAGTAGGGTTCCACCTCAGCGTCACACCGTTTGCGAGGTCATCGACCACTGGTATGTCATGTCAGATCGAAGGTACCGTTGGAGTATGGAGCGCTACGTCAGCAGTTAAGTCGCAACACAGGTTCGTGCCACGCCAGACAATACCCTGCCAATACCTCGATGCCGCATCCGCACTCTTGCGCCATGCCACGTAGGCAGCGCTCCACGCCACATCAGCAGTCCCATTCCCACTCTCTCTCATGATCAACCAGCGCCACGTCAATGTCGTGGTCAACGATGCTCTCGCCGGTATCTGATCGCCACATCGGCAACAATGCGCCTCATAAGCAATGTCGTCGTCTTTAGGTCGACGTCATCATCTTCACGGGGGGTATGTGCTCGTACGCGTCAATCAATGTGTAGTCCGCGATGATAATCGCGCGCGTGTATAGACGCGATTCTCTCGACGCGCGACAGTTCCCCCACTTACCTAGGTGCACATGAGTGCACATCAGCAGATCGCGACGAAGAAGGTAAGCTCCGATATCAACCCAATCTGGAGAAAACTTATGAAGTGTCGAAGTACAAGATAACTCAACGCTGAATAATGTCTCCAATAATCATGAAATGTGATCCGTGATACAATGTCTCGTAACAAATGGACTAAGGAGAGGAGGGGGAGAGTAGACTTAGAGGGTGGAAGAGTGTCCATCAATGACCACATAGATAGCAGCCCCTCATTTCCCTCTCCTTCTCCGGGCCTTCCCTCGCCTCCATGTCAACAAATAGTGTCCAAGAAACGAGCCTGACAAGGCCTCATCACATCTGAGTGCCGCGTGGCGCAGTTCTCCCGTGAAGACGTTACAACAGCGCACAATGTCAACAACAGCAACAAGAAAGAATCCTCTCTCTCTCTCTCTCTCAATCAATCCACAGATCCCGGTCTCCCTCCTTGTCGCATCCCAATCAGCAATGAAGACAGTGTGGCAAACGCCACGTCAACAATGTTGAAGACGGCGTGGCTTGCACCACGTCAGCAATGTAGACAGCGTGGCATGCACCACGTCAACAAGCCAGAAAACAGCTGGCGCCAAAACAGGAAGGCGTCGGCACGCAGTGCAGCAGTCTCACGTCGTCGTCCCGCAGTGCCAACGTCTAGCCGGCGTCAAACCAGCGTTGCACAACGTCGAGCCAGCGTCAAGACCGAATGTCGACTCCTAGGGGCAAGGGCCTTGAGTACTGTTGACAAGGTTGACCTGCCTCTAGTCCCTCGCCCACGGAGGCTCGGATTGACTCACAACCTACGACCTGGATCTCATACAGTTAAAGAATTCCACTTGGCCCGAATGCTGCCTAGATACCTCCGTACAACCAAGTGTGTGTGTTTGACCAATGGCCTGGGCTGGGTCCATGCAGACTTCGTGGGTCATCGTACAATTGACTTTAATCAACTGTCGAGCGTAGGACCCCTGAAGCCATTTTCAAGGGTTCTTTTCTCCTGTCGTGGTGCGGCCTCATGCCGGTGTCGGGCCTGCGAGACAACCAACGAGGCATATTGGAGTGGGTTATTGAATCTTTTGGAATTCTTTTCAAACTTCTTTGAAATTCCTCTTAATTTTAAAACATGTTGATAAAGTTTCTTAATTTAATCTCAATAATTTTGAAATTTCTCTTAATTTTTCTTATTTGACTTTATTAATCCCTTATGTCATTTCATCGTAAACTCTTAATTTAGGAATTAGTTCTCTAATTGTATTTCAAATTGCCTTTGAATTTCCTTAGTCCGAAAATACGTCAAGGAATTTTTTTTTTTCTTTCAAAATTTCCCTCTGAACTCATTTCTACCTCTTATCTCATCTCCCTGCAATAAGACTCGCTCTCATTCACACTTCGCATGCATGCAAACAGGTGCGCAACAAATATTTTCTATCAAAATTTCCCTTTGAACTCGTCTCTACCTCTTATCTCATCTCCCTGCAATCAGACTCGCTCTCATTCACACTTCGCATGCATGCAAACAGGTGCACAACAAACTAGCGACAAGCGCCCACTCGAGACTCAGAGATATGGTAGCCAAGAACAACGTTCAGGTACAAGTTCACTTCAATGGCTATGACGACTTAGCGCCCACACAACTCTCTGTTCGCACACACAGGATCACCCTGGATATCCCACACGCGATGCTCTGTACACACACACACACTCACACATGCTACAATCTATCTACAGCTATGGCGGTTATGCCCGCTGCTAACCTATCGCTATGGCTAAGCTCCTTCTCTCTTGCCCACTTCGTCTTCGGGCTCACTGCAGACCACCTCGCACAAGTCGTTGTGGCAGCGCTTCCGCATGGCTCCCACATGAATGAACGAATGGCTGAACGCTGCCCTTTGATTTATGCTTCTGTAGCTCATTGGTCTGGCATCTTCCCATGCCCGTGGTGCACATAGTCCCATATGGTACTTGCTTGACTAGACTAGGACTGACTCGGACCGGTACCGCTGACTGCATGGGTTTGCACTGCCGACTCGATGCAGTCGCATCGTCGACGTACTGCAGTTGAGCTCACCACTTGCCCACTTGCCCACTTGCCTCAGTCTAAACGTGAGCAACTTCGAAAGGCCACTACTAGGACCTTCTGGAAGTCTGAGTCCTGGCCTTTCGAAGATTTTACCAGCTACGGCCTTGACCCTTCAGGACTGTAGCAGCTACGGCCTTGACCCTTCAGGACTGTAGCAGCTACGACCTTGACCTTTCAAAAGTTCTACAGATACGACTTCTAGAACTCCCTAAGACTTCTACTCGACAAGTCTACAGATCGAACCCCTGCTACCTACGGACCCTGCGACGGTCTACCAACTGTTAACAAATACACAGGTCCCGGGTTCAACTATCGGGGTAGGCACAAATACTGTACACAGGTAAGGGGAGAGCCAAAGATCGAGCCCTGGGATCTGCATCGGCTACTACGAACAGGTGAATACCATTTCACTCCCGCCGGCCTAAATTTGAGGTCTCTGAGAATAACTCAGTCCAAGGCAGGACCTTTTCCCTTCTTATCTCTACGTCGGGAGCTGTTTCTAAAAGTTCTATTCTAGTAAACCAGCGGTCGTCCTCCGGTTCCTGATAAGCAAACTGGACTTTATACTGCTTTTGTGGACGACCTCTACCTCCTATTCTGAACACGTCTTCACCAACAATGCCGTCAATGCCGTATCTTTCGTCCATGTCTGGAGGGATCATGGACCTTCTGGATGGAAACTGCTGACTTGTGACACACAGTAACAACTTTGATGCATGAAATACAGGGTAGGTGTGGAGGTGTGCTGGAATCTCTACTGTGTAGGACGGCCCATCCACTCCGCCCTTAACTTCTAGAACTGGCCACGGTTCTCTATACGCGGTCAGTAACTTCTGTGAGATGTTTTCCTCAGGAGCAAACTCTTTGGACTTGACCCAGACTAAGTCGCCTACTTGGAATTGCGATGGGCGACGATGCTTGTTGGCCTGTTCTATCATATGGTGTTGGGCCTTC